TAAATCGTAACACATATGCTATTGTCTTAGCAAGCAAAGTTATTGAACTCATTTTATACAATAACGAATTAATAAGACATTCTGATTCATGTAAGGCTATGTGCACATTATGATTTTTCTTCACTTCAATTTTCGGATCTTCATACTTCGAATTATTTGGAGGTTGATAATTTAAGATGCATCTAGGTCCTTCCCACCATAAAGAATGTTGTGATAAATGTTTAATAGTAATCCCTCTTGTAGCACAATCTGCGGCATTTTCTTCCGATTTTATGTGATGCCAACAGGAAACTGGGAGTACGTCTATGATATCTCGGATTCTGTTTGCTACGAATGCCTTCCATTTTGATACTTCTCCATATATCCATCCCAACACAATCATAGAATCCGTCCAGGCATGAAGTTCGATTTTGATACCGGTTGATGATAATGTTCCTAAGACTTTTTCCATAAGTTTTGATAACAACAATGCACCCAATAGTTCCAACCGAGGCAGTGATATTTGTTTTTTGGTTGGAGCTACTTTAGTTTTTGCCATTACTAACTTCGATGTGTGCTCGGCCTTATCATTTATTGTTACTAAGTAAATACAGCAAGCGTAGGCTTTTTCTGATGCGTCGCAAAATCCGTGTAATTGAAATGATTTACCGGTGCCTTCTTGACCCAGATAACGCGGAATATTAATAATGTTTATTGACTTGATATCTTCTCTTAATAAACACCATTCCTTTTCTATTGATATGGGCAATGTGTCATCCCATGATAAATTCGATAACCATGTCTGCTGAAACAGGAGTTTTCCTCTTATTGTAACTGGAGATAGCCAACCAAGTGGATCATATATTTTTGAAATATCCGACAAAAGTTGTCTCTTAGTGATAGGGTGATTATTGTTTACCGTGACCTTGTAATGATATGAAAACGAGTCAGAGGCGGGATTCCATATCAAACCTAAAGTTTTTCTGGTTTCACTATCTTTGAACTCGTACATGGAACTCTGTTGCTCAGAAGGCAAATGTTGAATGAGCTGTGGTTCGTTGCTGGCCCATTTTCTGAGATTCATTCCTGATTTTTTCAAAACTTCTATTAATTCTTGTTGTAATTTTCTTGCCTCTTGCAGGGTTGGAACGCTACATAATAAGTCATCCATGTAAAAAGAGTGATTTAGGGCATAAACTGCTAACTTATAGTTTTCATTGTCATTTGCGATTTGTCGTAAAGTGCGCATCGCCAGAAATGGTGCTGATTTAGTGCCGTAGGTCACGGTTGTAAGCTGATACTCTTGTAAAATGCGTTCCTGCGGCGTGTCCCTCCATATTATTGTTTGTAATTTTTGATCAGCCGGTCTGACATATATCTGACGGAACATTTTCTCTATGTCAGCAGTCAAAACATATTTATGTATACGCCACTTTAAGATTAACGATTGAAGATCCTGTTGTAGGTTAGGCCCGCTTTCCATGAGATCATTAAGGCTTCGGCCTGATGATGTTTTTGATGATGCGTTGAAAACAACACGTAGTGACGTAGTATCTGAGTCGAGCTTGAAAACTCCGTGGTGTGGCAGGTAACAAGTTGGTTTGCATAAGCCTGTGCTGGCCTTACGCATGTGACCTAGTTCTTGATATTCAGTCATGAATTTCCTATAACCGTCTGATAATTGCTGATTTTTCTCAAATTTTCTTTCGATTTGTAAGAATCGGCTGATAGCTATCGACTTAGAGGCGCCTAATGTACTTTCAAACCCTGGTTTCATAGGGATAGCGACTTCATACCTTCCGTCTTCTATGCGTCTGGTTGTCTCTTGATATAATTTCTCGCAATATTGTTCTTGTTCTGTTAATGATAATGACTGCTGTGTTTCCTGTATATCTTCAATTTCCCAGTATTTCGCTAACTGGCTAACGTTATTAATGATGACATTGCAATTAAAAGTTTTAATGTTGCCTGATAATATCCATCCAAGTCTTGTCTGTTGGGCTATAGGGGCGGCGCGATCGCGACCTCTGATGAGACCCTCCATGATAATGTCCGAATAAACACTTGCATCCAATAACAAATCCACAGGTTTTGATATATTGAAATCGGGATCTGCAAGCTGAACATGTTGTATGTGTGGCCATGATTGTTTCGTAAATGATATATTTGGCAACCTATTGATAACACGTGATAATACCAATGCTTGGGTAGTAAAATTATAATCACCATAAATGGACTGGCATTCAAGAGTAACTATGCCTTTACTTTGTTTCGAATTCGGTCCAATGCCTGATATCGAAGCATGGTATTTCTGGCGCTGTAATCCGAGAGCCTGCGCAGCGCTTTCTGATATAATCGATATTTGTGAACCTTGATCCAAAAGTGCCCTTAATGTGATAAAACTGTTATCAGCTGCCTTCACCTTGATAGATACTGTCGTGAGCAAAATTTCTTCGTCGTCCGCGGCGACATAGTTAGTATGATGTTGTCGAGGTAATTTCGTAACAGGTGTCGATGAACTCGATGACGTAGATGGCTGCGATTCATATGTGTATTTATTTGATATATTATTTTTATTGTGGGATTGCGTAACAGCGTTGTGAATCACAGTATTATGGCTTTCATTGCATTCTTTGCATCTGCGATTCGATGTACACTGCTTGTCATAATGTTTATACAAGCAATTAAGGCACACTTTGTTTTTTGATAAGGCCTCAATTTTCTCTTGAGCAGGTAGCTCCAAAAATGTCTTGCACATATACAAATCATGAGACGCCTGACATATTACACAGGGCTTCCGTATATATGCAGGAGCGGCTTGATAAAATCCTTTCCTCATAGGGCTGGCCTGATATCCTCTTTGAAATAACGGCTTGCTATTCAATGTTGGTCTATTATTCTGATATATGATTTTCTCGGCGACTGGTTGATTTCTACTATCCTTCTCCCTTTTTTGGATAGGTTCTAATGCTGTGAACTTGACCTCAATAAATGACATAAACTCTTGCAATGTAGGCAGCTCTCTTGGCTCTCTACGAGACTCCTTGTAATCGCTGTAGGTTTCAGAATCCAATTTCTTCGATAAAATGTGCACTAACAAAGGGTCCCAGGTGTTGGTATCAACCCCCAAATTATGTATGGCATGTATGCACTCAGTTGTAGTGTCGAAAAGCTTCTTTAATTCAAACGACGATTGTTTAGTCAAATTATGCTGATTTAGTAAAATTTCAATCTGGTTTGTGAATAAAAGTTGGGGATTATTGTATCGATGGGTTAATATATCCCAGGCCGCTTCGTAATTTTCAGCTGATATATGCAAATGCTGTATCAAACGCTCGGCTTCGCCCTTTACTCTACCCTTTAAATGTTGCATTTTCTGAGCATTGGTGAGATATTTATTGTTGTGGATCGCCTCCGTATACAGGTCAAAAAATGTAGGCCACTGTGTATATTTTCCCGTGAATATCGGAATTTCTATCTGTGGTACTGATTGATGTAAATGAGCTGTAGAGCACAATCTCCTATTAAGTTTTCTCTTGACGTTAGTATAAATCTCTTCAATATCGGCATATGCTTCTTCGTAACTCGTATTCCGACCCACTAAAATGCTGTCTATGCGAAGATGAAGATCATCAATGATACGCCACCGGTGTTGCAAATTCCGGAGTTCGTCTTCAATCTCCCACTTTTCATCGATCTGTTGTTCATTGATACGCTTTATTTGCCTTTCTAATGCCCTAAAATTTGCTTGTTGACTGGATAACAACTCGCCGACGTTGGAATCGGTCGTAGATGTAGTAGTTTTGATAATAGGAACATCAAACCTGGTAGACGACCCCTGGATCTGCTTCGTGATTGGTGTTGTCGTTTTTGATAATTGCTTGAACTCAGCTTCCATAACTGCTCGCGCTGATTGATAAAAATGCTCCGTTTTTTGGTAAATGTTTTTCATAAAATATTCTGAAGACTTATCTTCACACTCTTGTAACTGTAAATTGTTTTGTTGAAACTCACCCCATAAGTTACCAATTGCTTCCAATCTCTTCTGAAAATAATCATGCGATTTCCTATCCTTAGGATCCTTCTTGAAGCTAGTGTAGATCTTCTCGATTTCCTTGACAATCACGCTCTGGCGCTCGATTAACTCCATCATGATAATGATAAGAGGATATGATACGTACTTATAAAAAAATAATTGATCACTGCTTCTGCGCAGCAAATACTGTGTTCTTTTGTCGATATTTGCACCTTCTCAATTCAACCCGGTGAGACCCGCTTGTGGGAGGCCGAGAGAACCGATTCGCTACCGATAAAGAACACTTAAATGATAACAAAGTAGACAGATGAAACGTCCACTCGCTGGTTTACGTAGGAACAATCACTTAGCAACAGAATTGACGTTACACTCGCGATAGATCCCACTTTTACGAAAGTTCGAAGGACCAATAAATGTAGGGTGTTCCCTACACTTAATATGATATTGATATTAAATAATGATAATTAAATGATATTAAATTGATACGATATTGATTTATGATAAGGGTTAAATGATACACGCTATGCTGATGAATGCGTCATTCGCACTGATTTTATTTCTATATTTAAGTATACAAATCATAATAATTTATTGCTATGTTTGCATTAAAAGTATGCTAACTTAGTACGATGACTCGTACAATAGTGTTTAGTGAGTGTTTTGTAATTAACATGGTGTGTTAAATGTGTGAACTGTGTGGTGAATGCCAGTGTGAACTGCCATATAATTTCGAACCCCATCCCGACACGTAACAACATATTTAGAAGAGAGTATCGCATCATCGCTGTACAAATAGCTTATTTAATAGCCACATTTCTTCCAAATCAAGATCGCAGTAAATGTCCATTTTTAGTATTTGAATGCTTGGTTCGATTTATTCCAGCGAATGGTTCCACTGGGATTGATAATAGTTCCCGAGATCCCGCGGAGAAAACAAATTAAATAGTTAACCATTATATAATACTTGTCTTGCGTTGCGGTGTAGGAAGAAGGCGTGAGCGTTTATGGGGAGCTGACGGTTCCAGAGGATGGAGTGAACATCCACGGCCTGTTCATAGATGCTGGTCGTTGGGATGTGAATGCGAACTGCCTCGTTGATGCGCTGCCAGGTAGACTATTATTTTTACCAATGTTTAATAGGTAATTAGTAATTCTAAGGTAACTCAAGTAAATGGTGTCATGTGGAAGTATGTAATTGCTACATGCCAACGAATGTGTTCTGTAGTGTATAGATATGGCAACACAAATACAATGTACTGCATGCGAAATGTCACTGTGACATTTCTATCAAGGCGCGAAGCGGTAATCGGTTGTGTGCACAATTAATGGTGATAAATTGATATTATATCGGAGTGTAACTGAACCTGTACAAGTGGAGACCCTGCCAGGATTACAACAATCAAGGTACGTGTAATAAACGAAAAATTTGTGGTATAAAACATGATCGACTTTATCATAAAGTCGTCGCATTCCTTCATAAAATAGTAACTATTGGATTGTATATACTAACTACATACAAAAAGAGTCTGCAATCTTCGTCTCGCGCGTCGCAGGCGCCGAAGACGCCGCGGCGTGCGGGGAATCCGCTGACCGAAGTCACTTTGGAGATCTCGGGTGCGCATCCCGTAGCACACGGGATGGTCGTTGGGGTAGATACCCCCTCTCAACGTCTTCACTCGTCGCCCTCGGCGAGCCCACCGGGTGAGACCCGTGAGGGAGGCCCAGTGAGCGACCTGCGAGCAGGCGACGGACTTAGCGTGAGGGGGTAGAATCCTGTCCGGGAGTAGTGTTGGAGATCGTTTTCACGACCTGCCCGAATTTTTGGATAAAATCCGTCAGCATGGCCGTGAGCTTGAGAATTTGTTCAGTTGCGTCTTGGGTGACGGGCGGCGTTTCTTGGGTGGCTTCGGTGGTTGGCGTGGGTGGCGTAGACGGCGTAGGCGGCGTGGGCGGCGGTGTGTCGGCAGCCGCGGCGGTGGCGGTGGTTGGCTTGGGTAGTGGGGCGGCGTTGTCCGTGTTCGTCGGCGATGTATTGCGACGGCAGGGCTTTTGGCGGCGGCGTTTGGTGTGGCTGGTGTACGAGGGAGGAGCGTTCGCGGGGGCCATTAACGTGGCCGGCGCGTGCTCACTCACCTCGCTGGGCTGCTGGACTGGCTCGGTGGGAGGGCGGCCTGTGCGGGCCACTGTCGTGGCGCGTCGGTTTCGCGCCTCGCGCAAAAGCTCGGGGCACGCGCTATGGTTCGCCGGGTGCGCGCCTGCGCAGTTCGCGCATGTCGCGGGTTGCGCGAGCGGGCGAGGGCAATCGGCGGCGGCGTGCGGGTCACCGCAGCGCACGCAAGCAAGCGCGCGGTGACAGCCTTGGCTGGAGTGGCGGAACCCCTGGCAGCGGTGACACTGCGCGGGGGTCTTCCGCCCTCTCCAGGCTTCTATGCGGATCCCGGTCATACTCAGGATTTCACTCACTGAGTATATGGCCGGGATGGTGTCTGGAGTGCGGTCGAGTGCTGCGTAGTATAGACAGCCGGGGCGGCCTGCTCCCGCCCGGATCTGTCTGACGTGTGATGCGGTGAAGCCCTTCTCTGCGAGGGCCTCGGCGATGTCGTGCGGCTTGGTGTCCAAAGGCAACCCTCGGATGGCCACCTTGAGGCTGCGGTCCTCGGGGCGAGCGTGCGAGTACCAGCTCAGCCCGCTCACCTTGAGGTTGGAGAGGTACTCTGTAATGGTACGGCTCTCGTCTTCGTCCGTGGGTAGGAAGCGCACACCCGCGCCAAACGGGCGCGCGCTTGGCGGTCGGCCGAGCTTGCCGTGGAGGGCGCACATGTGCGTCGGCCAGTCCGGCAGCTGCTCGACCACAATCGGCGGGCATTTACATGCCCGTTGGGACGTGGGAGCGCCGCCGGAGGCCGGTTGCGCGGTCGACACGGCAATGGGTGGTGCGGCGGTGGGGGCAGATATTTCGGCTTCGGTGAGGGTAGGCGCGAAACTTTTCGCCGCCTCTGCGTAGCTCGCAGACTGCGTCGGTAAAGCAGTCTGCGTCGGTTCTGGTGTGGCGGGGGCGGCATCTAAGTCGTCCGAGGGCCAGTAGTATTGTGGTTCGTCGGCATCGTCTTGCGGTGGTAGGTCATCTTGTGGGTCGGGGGTAGTTACCTTAATAGGTAGGGGTGCCTGCTGGGGGGCAGGGGAGTCGCCGGTGCTGCGTGACCGGTGGAGGCGCGAGGCGCGCGGGTATGCTGCGCGGGGGCGTCTCTCTTCCGGCTCCTCCTCGATAGGCTGATATGGCAACAAATATTACTGCTCCAGAGGCAAAGAAGGCAACGCTTTTGCATACGGGTGGATTACCTTTGCAAGAGATTTATTACAACATACCCGAAACAACAGCTGATGATGTTGACGTGTTTACTGCTGCTGTCGAAAAATTAGATAAATAATTCTCTCCTAAACAAAGCCGTGTTTTCGAACGCCATCTTTTTAGGCTCATTAAGCAAGAGGCAGGAGAGAAGTTTGAGAAATTTCTCATTAGACTGAGACACCAGTGTTCTAAGTGTCGGTTCGAGTCCCCTGAAGAGCAATTGATTGATCAGATTACTGAGAAATGCGAATCAGTTGATTTACGGAGGAAAATTTTAACTCTCGGGGATGAGGTTACACTCGACAAAATCATTTTTGAAGCCAATAGTCTAGAAACTGTAAATCGGCAACTTAATGACTTTGGTACCTTGGGACCCAGCAAGGATTTTCCAGTAAACGAAATAAGATCTCAAGGAAGGCAACCTAATATCGATTCGTGTTCCCGTTGTGGAAGTAGAGGTCATCCTAGCAGTAGCAAGCATTGTCCAGCTATAGATAAAAAATGTCTAGTGTGGCTTTGTTGGACACTTTCGTCAATGTTGTAAAACTAGGACAAATAAACGTAAAGCTGAAAAGACAGCTTCGACCGTAGGTGCAACAAAAAAATTTAAAGGAAAAACCAAGCACGAGGAAATAGATTACATCTTTCATGTGGATGGCGATGAGTCCATTACATGCTCGCTTGGAAATGTAGATGTTGATATGCTTATAGATTCAGGTAGTGAATGTAATATTATTACCGAAGTTACATGGCAGGTTCTCAAGACTAAGGGGGTTCAAGCAGAAAATCAAATTAAAAATCCGGATAAGAAATTCATGGCCTACGGTAGTCAACATCCGTTAACAGTTCTCGGAAGTTTTGATTCTACTATAAAGGTTGAAAATGGGTCTAAGTTGGACAAAGTAACATTCTATGTAATAAAAAATGGCACAAGAAATTTGCTCGGGAAAGACACTGCGAAAAAACTTGGTGTTTTAAGATTAGGTCTAGGAATAAACGCGATTGAAGGCACGTTCCCTAAAATTAAAGTTGTACAAATTCATATTCCTATAGATAAATCCGTAAAGCCAGTTTCTCAACCATGCCGCAGGGTCCCAGTCCCCTTAGAGACTAAAATAAATAAAAAAAGCCAAGAACTCATTGAAACTGATATAATAGAGCCTGTCAATGGGCCATCAGACTGGATCTCCCCTTTGGTACCCGTTCTCAAAAGCGATGGAGATATTCGAATTTGTGTAGACATGAGACAAGCCAATCGGGCTATTATTAGAGAAAAACATCCTTTGCCTACTATGGAACAGCTAATGCCAAGGTTTCGAAACGCTAAGCTGTTTTCTAAATTAGATTTAAAAAATTCATTTCATCAATTAGAATTAAGCGAAGATAGCAGGCATATTACAACTTTCATATGTAGTCAGGGTCTATTCAGATACAAACGTCTCATGTTTGGTATCTCATGCGTTCCTGAATGTTTCCAAAAATATTTTGAAAGACTGTTATTACCGTGTGAAGGCGTGGTCAACTTTATTGATGACATTGTCGTATTTGGCAGTACGGAGGCCGAACATGAGACGAGGCTAAAAAAAGTCTTGCTGGTCTTAAAGCAAAATAATGTCTTACTAAATGATGCCAAGTGTTGTTATGGTGTAAAATGCATAGAGTTTCTAGGACATCAATTATCATCTGAAGGAGTCAAACCTCTTGATAAATATGTAAAAACAATCGAATCATTCTGTGAACCGATTCTGGTCGAAGAGGTTCAAAGTTTTTTAGGCTTGGTTAATTATGTAGATAAGTGGATCCCTAATTTAGCGACATGGACGGACAAAGGTGCGGATATTACTTCCCACTGGCGCAATAACCAAAAAGAAGCGTTTAATTCTTTGAAACGCGCGATAACTCAAATTAGGTCGTTGGGGTATTACGATCCACTCGATAGGACTCAAGTTTTTGTTGACGCCAGCCCAGTCGGGTTAGGAGCCGTGCTTGTTCAGCATGGAGCAACTGGACCTCGGATTATTGCGTTCGGAAACAAAAGTTTGACAGACAGGGAAAAACGTTACTGTCAGACTGAGAAAGAGGCACTCGCATTAGTCTGGGCCGTTGATCATTTTAATTTATATTTATTTGGTAAAGATAGTTTCGAATTAGTTAGTGACCATATAAGCCCTTGGAGGTTATTTTCGGTACTAGTTCGAAACCTTGTGCTCGAATAGAACGTTGGGTGTTACGCTTACAATCATATAACTATAAAATTGTTTTCAGCCCCGGTAAGCAAAATATTGCTGATTCACTGTCGCGGTTAAGTTGTAATGTCCGACCATCACAGCCGTTTGATGAAGAAAATTATATTAATCTGGTGATTGACCAGTTACGCCCCAGGGCAATTTCTCTAGGTGAACTAAAACAAGGTTGTGAGGGAGACCGTGAATTAGAATTAGTTAGAAACGGCGTTTATCAGAATAACTGGGATCAGAGTGTCAAAAGTTACAAGATCTTTGAAAATGAAGTATGTTTTCAAGATAATACACTTTTACGAGGAAATAAAATTGTAATTCCGTCTAAATTAAGCTCAAAAGTTCTTGCAGCTGCTCATGAGGGTCACCCTGGGATTGTGGCTATGAAATCACGACTGCGTACCAAAGTATGGCCGAAAATCGATGCGGATGCAGAACGCTATGTAAGATCTTGTAAAGGTTGCACTCTGGTTTCTGCACCGAATCCTCCAAATCCTATGCGCAGACGGCAACTACCAAGTCAACCTTGGATTGACGTTGCTGTTGATTTCTTGGGGCCATTACCTAGTGGCCATCATCTTTTTGTGATTGTTGACTATTTTAGTCGTTATATAGAAATAAAAATTACTAAGACTATAGATGCATTATATACCATTAACGCACTTAAAGAAATATTTTCACGTTTAGGTGCGCCAGTAAGTATTACGGCTGATAATGGACGACAATTTACCAGTTCAGCATTCATTAATTTTTGTAATGAATATGGCATACGTCTGTTCCATAGTATCCCTTATTGGCCTCAACAAAATGGTGAAGTAGAAAGGCAAAATCGAAACATTTTAAAGAGATTTCAAATAAGCCAAAATCAAAGATCAAACTTGCAGGATGATTTACTCCAATATTTGACTATGTATAATAGCACTCCCCATTCCGTTACAGGGAAAACTCCTGCTGAATTTTTTTACTAACGTCAATTTAGGGACAAGGTACCTTCAGTCGTAGATGTCGAGTTTTCGGAGATAGATTCGGAAATTAGGGATAGAGATGCGGAAGCGAAAGCAAAAGGAAAAGAGTACGCAGACAGGAAGAGACATGCAGCCTAATCCACTATTCAAGTTG